CTCTCTTGGTAAAGTTTGTTCATTCTCACCTAGAGGTTACCAAAACCCAAGCGATCATGCAAATGAAACCCACGCCACCTAAGTACTGACAGAGAGCCAAACGAACTTGCCCACAGTGTTGTCTTCCTTCAAGACCAGAGAGACTCATGGGCAGCAATGGCCGTGCACATCGCACCAGAGTAGAGGTCTGTCAGCTAAAACAAAGGGGCTGTGTTAGTCCCTTAAAGAAGAATATATTCCCTTGTCAATAGATCTAAAATGCCATCAAACTACTGCTGGTGACCATAATTCAAGATCAAAACCTGCTTCCACATCCACAGTTTATCAAGAAATCTTCAGAGGATGGGCCTAGCTCCCCTAAACTAGAACAGTCAGGGCGAGGGTTCTTTGCTCTCCAAGTAAGTAGGGCCAACATCCCATGCAGCCGCAAGTTGCTACAGAACATGGAACTTCCTGTCTCAACTCCCTCCAAAGGTTTTCAGGGACCAGTGCTCTCAGGGGGGAATAATACAGTTAGGAACAAAGGAGCTGAGTCACTCCCTTCTCTTCGATCAGCTGTAAACACCACACCACCCTAGTGATTATCCGGGTTTAAGTTTAGGAGCTCGAGCAGATTGCTGACATCAGCAAGCGAGACGGTGCGAGGCATTTTGGATCGTTGGCGTCTGACTCTACAAGTACCGGAAGCCCGAGTTATCGAGGCCCCCTTTTTTTCTTTTCACACTGGACCCCTTTTCTTTCCCCTTTGCACTTGAGACCCTTTTCCCTTCACCCTTCTCCCTGTTCCTGCTGCCGTCATGTCATGATTTTCAATAAATATAGCCACTTACTACCTACTACGAGGTGTACACTTGCCAATTCTTTCCTTGTCTCCTTGTCTACATAAGAACCTAAACTATTTTTGGCTCACTCAACTGTAACAGTCTGAATATAGGTTCCGAAAGTAACTAGCAAATCAATTTGGAGAGGAGACAGAAATGTTTGGTCACCGAAGCAGTGCTAATGGTCCTCTCATACTTTCGAGTTACTCTGGCATGTAATGCATGGTTGAAAAGGCACGTAATGGCTACCACTGCTTTCAAGGGGCATGGGTACTTATTAACCCTGCTGCCACTTTTTAAAAAGCACATATGTGTGTGTGTGTGTGTGTGTGTGTGTGTGTGTGTGTGTGTGTTCTTCTTTGTATAATCAACCCCAGACTCTGAGGCTTTTTGTTTTTTTTTTTTGTTTTTTGTCTTTTTGAGACAGGGTCTCACTATGCAGCTCAGGCTGAATTTGAGCTCACTTTGTGGCCCAGGCTTGTATCGAACTCGCAATCATCCTCCTGCCTCAGCCTCCCAAGTGCTAGGATTACAGGCGTGTGCCACTACACCCGGCCCCAGACTCCGTGGTTTTAAACATGACTTCAGTACTGATGATCTGAACTTTTGGTATTTTTAGTGTCAGAAGCAATTTAGACCAAGTCTACTGAATCAAGGGAGTGATTAGGCGGGCAGAGGGGAGGTGGTAGGGGTAATAACTCTGGTTACAGAAAGTTAAATGCTATTTCTAAAACTCAAGTTTTCTTTCATGTTCAAATAAGTCTGAGAAATAATGAATTAAACAAGGCTAGGACAGGTCTCATTATTGTAAGATTTCTCAGAAAATTTAGGTAAAATGTTGCTGTGATTTTCAAATATATGCATAATTCCTAAAACATAGTTGACTTTGAAAATTCTTTTTTCTCAGAACATATTGACGCACTAGTACTTCATGGACTGTTTTGTGGAAACACTGCTTTAGGTAGATAAAATAAATCAAGAAGAAAAAAACTTTAAAAAAATTGTCTCAGAATCCAGAATATAGAATCTAAGTGGTATAATATAAGTAAATAAAAACAAAAACCACAGACTAGATAAGTAATTTAAAACCAGAAGTTCCATTAGAACTGAAAAAGCTATAAGCCAGTAGAACAAAAAATAGAAATTTCAAGTTGTCTCTCAATTCCTGAGCAATATAAAGGTAAACTGCTTCTAGAAGAAATGTTTAAAAATTTTTTTCTTTACCTTTTGATCAGTGACCTAGCGAGTGATATGTGTCCACCTGGGCTTAATTTTAAATGGAGGGTTTATAAAGATTCTTTGTTATTACTTCTCAAATATATCCACAGAATAAAGGTAGCTTAAAAGCAATGTTAGCAGGGCGTAGTGGTGCACACCTTTAATCCCAGCACTCTGGAGGCTGAGGCAGGAGGATCGCTGGGAGTTCAAGACCAGCCTGGGCTACAAAGCGAGCTCAAGGCCAGCCTGAACTGCATAGCAAGACCCTGCCTCAAAAAGACAAAAAAAAAAAAAAAAAAAAAAAAAAAAAAAAAAAAAAAGAAAGAAAGAAAAGCAATGGTAATTCCTCATTGGTGGTCTCTCATAATCAATAAAATAAATAATTTGTGTTTTACAAGTACATTTTGTTCCTTCCTGGGACTTAATAATTGAATTATTTTGATTGAAAAGTAAATGCAACAAGATGATAAAAAAAAGTAAGTGCAGGCTCCATGCGTTTTTAACTTTCCTTAGTTTACATTCAGGTAAAAAAGATTATTATTGTTAATGTTGATCTCTTCTTCTGATCAAAAACCTACATTTATGGACAGAAGTACTTGAGCAGTTTTGGGGAATGATTGGAAGTGACTATTTTTCTAATCTGCACTGGCCTGTCTTGCTGAGAAGTCTCTACCCAGGCTGGACTATTGTATTTCCCTTCCCTGGCTTAGATGGACCCTGTTGTATTGCACAGTGTGGCTGGCAGGTATGAAGTCCATAATTCAGGATGATGTGGGAGAACACCCCACACACATCATATCACGAGAGATGTTTGATATACCATACCATTTCCTTCAGTTCTGTGACTAACTGTACACTTGACATCACATCCTGACCAGCTGGGTAGGGGAGGGTGCAGAAGGCTGCGCGGTAGTGCATTCTTCTGTCAGGCATGGTCCACCAACTGTGTGGTTCTACGTTCGGGAATCTAAGCATTACCCTGACCCTCTTTAATCCATCAACAGTTCTGTTGATTTTACCTCTTAAATTTCCCTGAGTCCATCCATCTCAGTCCTAGTCTAGGCTACCATCGTCTCTCTTTCTTGAAAGACAACAGCTACTCCTAGCTGGACTCTTCTCTCCCATTCTAGCCATTTCTCCTTCTTTCTCTAGTCTGCCAGCCTCAGGACAGTTTTCAAAATTAAGTTTCACTTCCCAGTCCTTTCCCTAGTTATCCTTTAAGTGGCTGCCTTTTGCTCTTGCACGGCTGTCATGCAGTCTGCAGTGTCTTGGGAGATGCCCCCTCCTACCACCACCTGTCTCCTCTGCCCACCGGCACCCTCTTCACTTTGCTACCTCCTACTACCCTGCAGACAGTACATTCTTTCTTTTGCTGTACTTACCATCGTTGTCGTTTAAATTTAATTAGTTTATTTGGGACTGTCAGCCCCGTGAGGGCAGGAAACTTGTCTATTTTGGCAGCATTGAATCTCCATCCAATATTGAATGAACAAAAATCTTTATTACATTACATTAATATTATTTTAAAGTACACACAATTCTGCAGTGCAACAGAGATTCTCTGGCCTTTTGCCTGGAGGTAGGGACTACGTATTCCAACCCCCAAAAACAACAGCGCACAACACAGACACATTTCAAGAGGGTCCTATTTGTTATCATGTATTATCCGCTGAATCTCTTCATTTCCCCCACAGATTTGTAAGGTTTTCTCTATCACAGATCAAATGTACATCTATGCACGAGTTTATTTCCACGTCTATTGATGGGGACTACTGTGTCAGTAACTTCACCTTTAACCTGTCAGTAACCTGTCTTCACTCTAGCTAACTAGCTTGTCTGAAGACAGACAAGTCACTTTACCTTCTCTTTTAATCTCTTAAATGCATAATCATAATATCCACACACAAGGTTGTTCAGATTAAAGGAAACAAGACTGGTATGTAAAGCCCCAGACAGAAGCCGGTCGTGGTGGCACATGCCTGATAACCCCAACCGGGGAGGGGGGACTGAGGCAGGAGGATCACCCTGGATTTGAGGCCAGCCTGGGCTACATAGTGAGCTCAAGGTCTGCATGAACTATACAGTGAGGCCTTGTCTCAACCAAGCAAGCAAACGTACAGCCCAAAATAGGGTAAGGGGGCACTCAAGAGTGTCCCTTATAAAGACGTTGAAGGAACAGATAAAACTGCAAAAATAAAAAGATCGATTCTTCTAGGAGCCCAATTCCACTTTTAAAATGAAAGGGATGAGTTAGCATAGTATTTTGAAGGCTCCCGGCACTTACAAAACTGCGATCCTGGCATTTCATTATCTAGAAACCAGCAGTTCATTATGAGACGGGCAGCTGTGATAAAAAATGAGAAAGGTGGTTCTCTATGCAGAACGCAGGGTGGAATCTTGAGCAAGCAAATGTAAAACGCCAAGGACCACACGGACAAGATTTGGGGCTCAGCGGCCGGGTTCACGACTCTTCTGGGGACAGAGCAGGCTACGATGACCTTCACGATATTTTCTGGCACGTGAACTGCCCGAAGGGTTGCAAGGCCCTGCCTACGAACACCGAGCCGTCTGTGACCGCAAGGCACCTGCCACCCTCCTGGCTGCCCACTGGTACGCACAACCGCAGAGAAGATTCCAGACCCGCTAGTAGAGGTACAAGAAGGACGCTACAGCGCCGGCAGCGCGGTGAGCAGCGGGGCAGCCCGCGCCCCCTCCTGGGCGCCGTCAGGGTTTCTGGGAAACGTAGTTCTGGGCCGCGCTTAGAGCTCGGGAACTCGGCCCGCGGGACTACGACTCCCTTCGGCCTTGCGCGAGCTGAGCGCAGCGCGCCTGCGCCGAGCGGCGGCCGATGCCGCTATAAAGGCTTGTTTTGCTCCGCTGCTGATGCTCAGGAGCGTGGTTGCGTGGTCGGTGCTTCTGTCTGGGAGCTGGGGCACAGGTAGGTGACGGTTCCAGTCTTACCTCTGTCGTGTCCTCCGGTTGTCACTGGGCTCACCTCCTTGCGTTTCCTCGAGGCGTGGCGGGCAGTGCTCGGGGGTTCGAGCAGTTTGGGGGAAGCTAAGCCGGACAAGCGGGGCCTGGCCTCGCTCTGGTGTCCCGCCGCCCTCTGCTTGGGTTTCGACCCCTGAGCGCTCGTGGTGGGGTCCTGCGTTGCAAGGGACGCTGGTGGGCTTGGAATGAGTGGTCGGGTGCCGGCTCCATCCCCGGATGCCGCCACCAGGGGGTGTGCTACGTCCGCGGGCCCCGCGGGTGTGGGTCGCAGTCTCCTGGCCAGGCCGGCGCGGGCGGTGGGAACGCCCCAGGGCCGGGGCTACCTGGGCGAGGTTGGCCGGGGAGAGACCCCTATCCTGAGCTTGTGGGTAGGCGTCCTGGAGCACGCCGTGAAGCCGGGGATCCGAGAGCGCCCTGCTAGAGTAAGTCGTTCTGTTGGTTTAGCAGACGGGTAAAAGGAGGTACGCGGCACAGGCACGCACCGCAGCCCGGTGGTAGAGCCGGGAATGGAGCCCAGATCTCTTGACTGTCATCCAGTGCCCTTTTCACTTCTACAACCTAGAGCTTGCGCGTTGCTTTAATCACACCAGGGTCGTTTGTTCCCCACGGACGTAGGGAGGCTACTGGCGGATGGGCGAAGGAACGCTTGGGAAACTTTCAGGTTTTGAAGGAGGTGGATAGGTTATAGTGGATTACTAGAGGCGTGGTAAGTACGCGTCCTTTTAGCTTTGAAGCTTCCTGTGCAGTTGTAGCCCTGGAACGCGGGTCCTGAGGTGCTGGAGCCCTACTCTGGAATGTAGGGAGAAGGCAACTTGGAGACACCAGTCTGGCTCGTTACAGTTGTCAGGATTCTGCGCAGCTCCCCTCCCCCTGCCGCTGAGTCTGTAGTGCTATGCAGGGAGCAAGCCTACTCTTAGCACTAGCAGGAGAGTCCTGATGCCAGAGGCAGCTGACCGAGGAACCTCAACCCTGTCGAATCTGAGCAGTTCTTTGGGGGTTCCCTTAGTTCAGGCAGTGTGCCGCTTTCCTTGTACAGCTCTGTTGAGAACCTTCAACAACAACAAAAAAAACCCATTTCTTGCTTCCCTCGATAGCTAGGCAACTTAGCATTTTGAAGACTTTCCATTAACTTCAAGAGGTAACACACGAAAACGGTATTACAAATAGTATACAAAAAAAAAAGGTCTGGGCTAGTGATCCTTCCTTAGTTGCATGCTTTATATTGGGGGATGGGGTCTGTAGCCTTTTTCTAAACCTAACTGGCGTCCTGCCTGTCATATCCCCAAGACACAGAGGACAGTGTCCTCTCCTGTTCAAGGCCAAGATACAGTAACTTTGTGCCTGTTCAGAGCTTGCCCACTCTCATGACTGTGCTTGTTTTGCAAGAGAATTAGAGATGGAAATGTTCAGGATAATGAGAAACTATACGCATATCCTTCGTAGGTAACATAACCTGGTCCCTAAGGAACGTTTAGGATAGGTCCCTTAGGTAGGTTGCTGAAGTCCCTGTATACCAGTCACCATAGGCACAAAATAATGCTTATTTTTTATTGTAACAGGAAAATCGTTTCATCCCTGCCACTCTCTGCTCATACATTCCACTGATTCTGCTTCACCCTTTGAAATAAAATGATTGAAAGAATCTGGCTAGATAATTGAGGTGTTCTTCGTGTTCTTTTTGATGTAGCACTTAGTATTGTGAACAAGTTACCTTGGCCTCTCCCTCCCTCACTCCCTTCTGCCTATTTTTTTATAGTAGCACTAGTTTTCCTCTTCCCCTGTACTTAGCCAGGCAAGGGAATCTTGGGAGGGGAAGGGGGGACTTCCGTGACCCTGTAACAAGAAGGGTTCCTCTTAGCTGCAGCTGACAGTGGAGACATGGCAGGTGCCAGGTCTGTTTATAGTTTAGCCTTAATGAGGTCTCAGTGACGTGCTCACCGTGCTCTTGCTTAGTAAGCCGATGTTCTTTATGGTGCACTTTGTCATTGAGCAAGGTGATTTTATTTTAAAGATAAAAACTTAGCTGTGTCAACTTAAGAGTACTCAAACTGAAATTAGGAAAAGGAAGAAGTCAAGCTGTTTTTGTGCTGCTAACTTGTCTCTGTGAAGGACATTTAGTCTCACTTATTTAAAGGATTAATAAATATTCGTTTTTGATAGCTTAAAAATGAATTATAGTTGTCAGAATTTTGTATTGGAGGAGTTGTATTTTTAGTCACAGTGATAGCTGGGAATTTATGGACTCCAAAAGGCAAAATAGCTACACTTACTTAATTTCTAGTGAGGTTGCTATGCAAGGTGTTTTCTCAGCTTGTACTGTATCTAGAAAGCATCAGACCTTCTGAGGCTGGAGGATATATTTTAGAGCAGCATGTAGGTGTATTTGTTTTTTTATTTATTTAGAGACAGGGTCTCTGTATGTAGTTCAGGCTGGCCTTGAACTCACTATATCATATCAACCAGACGAGCCTCGATCTTATGATTCTTCTACCTCAGCCTCCCAAGGGCTGAGATTACAGGTATGCACCATGGTGCCTGGCCTTAGGTTTTTAAATGTGGCCAGAGTTGATACACGATATTGCTTAGAGTTAAGCAAGCAATTGTTTAGAACGGTTTCATATAGAGACTAGGTAAGATTTAGTGGATAGAGACTAGGTAAGATTTAGTAGTAAAGGGTAGAAATTTAGTTTTTAACTATTATTGTATAATAGCTGTACTGAGATAGAACTTACATATAAAATTCATTTTTCTTTTTCGGCTCGGTGCATGGCTGTAATCCCAATGCCTTGGGAGGCTGAAGGAGGAAGATTGCAAGTTTGAGGTCAGCCTGGGCAACTTCTTGAGGCCTTGTCTCAAAATAAAATAAAAAGGGGTAGGGTTGTAACTCAGCAATAAGAGTGCTTATTTAGCAAGTGTGAGGTCCTTAGTTCAATCCCCAAAACAAAAAAACAAAACCACCCTTTAAAAGTATGTCATTCAATGTTGTTGGTTCTTTTAGTATGGTAATGGAATTGTGCAGCCATTACTACTAATTGGGAAATTTTCAGTATCCCATGGGAATTTGTGTTTAAATTTAAGTTACCCTATTGTTTCATATTTTAACTATGTAACTTCATGGAGCATTAATAATGCTAACCCACTAGCTAATTATAAAAATACAGTCCATTTCTTAAGTTTTCATTTAGTAAAATTTGGTAAGAGTAGTGATGTCCATTTTAAAATTTTGGAGTTTGTAATGCTTGGAACAAACTGAAATTGTTTCTAGAAAGTTAACATTTATTTTTATCTAAATGCTCTGTACTTTGGATTTGAGTTTAGTTGAAGTATTTTTTTCTAGGTTTTTTTTTTTTTGCCTCTTGAAGAAGAGAGAAGGTAATTTTTCTAGATTTTATTGTGTGGTGTTTTTTCTTTTTTAAAAAATGGAATATTACTTGCAATTTTTGGGGGAAATTATTTGTATAACTTTAATGGTAGAAAGCTTGAATAGCTTTGTGCTCCCCTTTGCATTTTCAGGCACTTTAGCATTGATTAAGCACAATTTAGGAAATGCATGTTCTCAATAAATGTTTGCTTTCAGAATAGTGAAGAAAACCGGCAGTCCATGAGCCCTGGCACCTCCAGTCGGCGAAGATGAAGGATATCGACATAGGAAAAGAGTACATCATCCCCAGCCCTGGCTACAGAAGTGTCAGGGACAGAGGTGGCACTTCGGGGCAGCACAGAGAACGGCAGGAGTCCAAGTTCCAGAGAACTCGACCGGTCAGTATTTCCTGCTCCCAGCCCCTTCTCTTATCTGCCTGCTGTACTGGACTACACTTGTATGATACATAATTTAAATATTTATTTTTCTTTATTAGCTTTACATTTCTGTTAAGAATAGCTCAGTGGTACAGCATGTGCTTAGCACCAAGAAAGGAATTTATGGTTACTTATGAAGGAGTCCTTAGTTCATAGTACTCAATAAATGAGAGAAGAGGCTGGGGATTTAGCTCAACGGCACAGCACCTGCCTGGCAAGCGTGACATCCTGAGTTTGATTCCTGGTACCCAAAAAAACAAAACAAACAAACAAAAAAAAATGGGAGAAGAGGGTGTATTGAAATCTCACACCAATTTATTTTTTTGTTGACTCCATTTTGATACCTTCTGAAAAGGCTTCGTCTAGAAGACAGCTTATAAGGGAGCAGGCTATGTAGGGAGGAGTATGAACCATTAAGCTTCATTTATCTGCTGAAACAAGATTGGGCTTTTTGTTCTGTCTCTGTTGTCTGTGCTTAAAACATGAATCCTTTGGAGAGACATGCTCAGATTTCAAGCAGTCATTGCCAGTAAGTTTTTTAGGTGAATTCATGAATTCTTTTCCTCCAGTAGAAATAAAGAAGGTATATTATAAATTAGAGTGTTTTTCCCCTTTGAGAAAACAGCGTTATACGTTTTCTCAAATTGCAAAAGTAGCTATGGGCAGAACAGGGGTGTCTGGGTTTAGGAAATGGAGGTTTATGTTCATGCTTTAGCAATGTGAAAATTTAAGAAAGATAGGGACTTTGTAGTTGACCTTATCTTTCTTAGCCTGACATGACCTGTCCTTTTTTGGTGCATTAAAGCTGTTGCTTATTAATGAATATTTTTGCTGACAGGTCTTTAGAATGTGTATTTAGAGCACTGTTTTTACTTTCAAGTTTATCTTTGGAAAAATATAGATTTGGTATAATCAGTGTCAAATACTTCCCTGGTGCCAGTTTTATAACTTCTTTGTGTCCTTTTGTCTAGACCTTATGTTAATTAAAGATTATTGAGTGTAGCTGAGTGCTAGACATGACACCATTGTGGCATATTCACAAAGGTAACATTGGAGTGGGGCTTTCAGGGTTGATTGGCTGGAAAGGTGTTTTAGGCTATAAAAGGAAAGACCTAAAGGAAGAGAAAAAAATACATGGTATATTGGAAGCGTGGGTGAGCTGTGTATTTCATTATGTCTTAGTAGATTATGTTTATTTATTTATTTTTTTATTTTGAAGAGTAAAAGAAGGATAACATAATAATAGGGGGGACTTACCAAATTATAGACAAAATGGTAGGAAATTATCAATGGTTATTGTTTTACATATTGTTATCTACAAAATAGTTTCTCAGGAAAACAAATAGACAAATAATAGTGAGTTAGAGACAAAAGAGGTAGGAGATTATCAAGAGTTGTTGTACTATACTTTGGTATCTTCAAAGTGGCTTCTAAAGAAAATAAATAGAGCTATACATGAGTGACCTATTGAAAAATCATTAACTATTCTCAATGGTTGTTGTAGGAAACACATAATAATAAACATACATCCATTTATGAAATAGGATAGGAACATTACAAGCTTTACACAGTTATGGATAGATTAGTAGGAAAATATCAATGGCTGCTGTAATACATGGTGGTATCTTCAAAGTGGTTTCTCAGGAAGACAGAGATATGCAAGAAGGACCTAAAAAGTAGTTACAGCCTAAGGGTTGTCAAAAATAGCATATTACCTCCTCACCAGTGACTCCTT